TTTTTTTTTTTTATAGCTGATGAAGCTCGTGAATTGAAACGTATTCATGAAATTCCTGATAATATCGAAACATCAATGTATGATGATGATGAATCCAAAAATATTGTTTTCGATGATAGATACAACAGTGCTGATCAATCTACTGACGAAGAAGAACTACCAAGAAATGTAAATGGTCGTGCAGCTGTTGACAATAGTCATTCAGAAGATGACTCTGATAATGACAATGAAGATGATAGTACCAATTTTTATCAGCCTAATCGAATGCCAAAACAGATTGAAAATTTAAATACACACAATTCACTAAGAAATAAAAAGAAAATTAAAAAATATACACGTGATAATGGAAAAGAAGCAATTCCAGAATGGGGCTGAGAAGCAAACGACGCATTTGCACATATTTAATCGGTATATTTGTTCTTTTGTTACCTTCGATGTTTTTTTTTGAATAAAATTTTGCCATCAATAAACTGAAAAACTGAAAGAATAATTTGTCAAAATCTTACGAAATCCATATATTAACTAGTAAAATTAATATAAAAATGCTTAGTACTCAATAGAATTTGTAATCGTTTGAAATATTTTTCATTAACATCAAAATCTTCATTTTTTTTATTAATTCAACATTATTGAAAACAACAATAATTATCTAATGAACTCAATACTTACAGACGAATCTATACATTGAAGTAAATAATATAAGCATACATATATTTATTGATAAAAATTTCATCATTAAAACTGACATAACATATTTGAACTGATTTCCAGAAAAAAATGGTAAATCGAAAGGAATAGATACGGGTTTTGCACATAAGTAACTTATATATTTGCTGTCCACAATATAACGTTTACTAGATTGATTAGAACATGTTAGATACGATATTGGATTAATCAAGAAAAAAAAACTGACGATTACTCAGTCCACATAAAACATGAATACAATAAGTAAACAAAAAAAAAACTTTTTTTTTTCCATTTTTTTGACTAACCCACCTATATCTATGAATAAATAAATACATTTCCTTGAGTTTTTTTTTTGTTTACTCATAATACGAAACAACAAATAAAAGAGTAAATAATTAAAAACGAATATTTAAATTGAGATCAGATAATTTCATATCTTTAATTTTTTGTGGTAGATTCATTTCTTTTAATGCTGTCATTGCTTTAGTTGGTCCTGCTGTAATACCAGCTTCTTGTTTTTCTAATTTTGATTGTTCATCAAAACGTGCAACTATTTCATTCATATTTGTTTCTAAAACCATACCACCCAAACACATTTCTTGTAAAATATAATGAACTTTATCAACATGAAATATTAAATCAAGTTCACATACATTCTAAATTACAAAAAAAAATAAAAGAATTCAATTTGAATTTTCTTAAAAAAGAAAAACAAAAAATAAAATTTACTTCAAAACATTTATCAAGTGTTTCAACAAAAACTTGAATTAAATCAAGTATACCTAATTCACTTTCTGAACTATCAACACAAAATATAAAATATAATGTTGCATAATGACGATATATTAAACGATAATCATTTCCACCAATTAATGTTCCACCTTCAAGAAAATTACAAACATTTTCATCACGTTTTGATACTAATTGATATGTTTCTCGAACAATTTGTTGTTGAATTTCTTCAGGATAATGTTCAAAAAATTTTATTAATCTTGGTTTAGCTGAATTATTAAAGACAAGTATTGCTTTAATCATGATAGAATAAACATACTAAATCAATTCATATCTTAAAAAAGAATCTACAAGAAAAAAAAAACTAGATTGATTTTGTATTAGTCTATTGATGACCTACGCAAAAATCAAGATAACTATAAAAAATAGTTAATAAATACAGATGCATTGAAGCAGAACGTAAATAAATATTTGCGTATTCATTTGTAAAAAAAGAAGAATGGGCAATCGAAGCGATAGAAATCAAACTTTATCCGATTATGATACATTGATTTTAAGTCAACAAACTCAATTACCACCACATATTCTTCAACAACTTTATGAAGCATTTATGGAACGAGCAGGACGTGATGGACGGTAAGAAAAACTATCAAAATGAAAGAAATTTATTTATTTATTTATTTTTCATCTATAATATAGTATGACAATAAGTGATTTTAAAAGAGCCTATACAGAAATAAATCCAAATGCAAATATTTATAACCTTGATGAAGATGCAGAACGTATATTTTTTTTGTAAATTTACTTTTCTAATTTTTTATTGATTATTTTTTAGGAATTTTTATTATGTTTGATATGGATCGTAATGGTAAAAGAAAAAAATGCATGCATTACAAAACTAATTTTTCTTTTCAATAGGTGTTTTGACATTCAATGAATTTATGTTAGCGTATATTCTCTTACAACGAGGTGGTGATGTTCCAGCACTTCGTTGGCAATATGCAATGAACTCTATGCCTATTAGTGTTCTCTCTAGACCTGGTCTATTGAATGCTGCTGAAGCACTTCTACTTCTTCAATATATGAATCAATTTTATCAAATACCAAATTTCGATCCAATTATGCAACACAATTTTATTTGGGATCAATTAGCGCCTCAAATGGATCCCAATGGTTATGTACCACAAGCAGAATACCTTCGTCTTTTGTCGGCTCAACCTCATATTCAACCATATATTTGGTGAAGAATTTTCTTGCTTCTTTTTTTCATGCTATGCTTCTCCTAAATCAAAATTAACCATTTAAACGAGCTCATTATCTAATCATATTTAAAGTCTAACTTGATAAATAATAATTATACTTTTGATTTCCTGCTGTAACAGAACACACACGAAAAAAATAACTAATTTGTAAAAATAATTCACTTGGGTTTTCTTTGTATTGTTATTTATTCGATGTTTAGTAGCAAAAAACGAAAAAGAATACATTGGTCGGTTTCATATCAAGTCTATAAAAAAAAAATGAATTCGATTAATCATCAGTATACATGACTCCAAAAATATCTCAAACGCGCTTAAAATTGGTATCTTACGATGAAACATTATGGTTTTAACAATATGTTTTTTTACCATTTTAGAATGTAGATTTTATTCAACGAACCTGATTTTACGTGCAAAACCCAGATGCATCTTTTTCTTTTCACTCCTTTAAAAAATAATCATTTCATTTCTTATATTATCAAAAGAATAACGAAACTCCTCTATCATATACTCAGCTTAAGAGTATCTTACAAAATTCTACGGTATTCTTGTAGATCTTTACTCATTGACATATATTATGCGCCCATAAAAATTCGATTTTATTAAATTCGATTTCTGTCAAATGGTTATTCAATTCTAATTAACTGTAAATTCTAACAGGTTAGATAGATCGGTGTTGTTAAGAAATTGAAGTTGTAATAGTTGAAAGTCTCTCTCAAAATTAATTTAAGAATAATTTCTCTTACCAGATATTGTCTCATATAATGGAATCGATGATTTCATCAATAAACCTATATAATCAATTGTTTTATGTTCGATTTAAAGCTCTTACCAAATTTAGGATCAACAAAAGTATTCAATTTTTCTCGCCACGTTAATGAATATCGATTGTTTTGTCGTTGTTACAGTTACTTCTACTGATAGAAATTTTTTGATAAAATTTAAAACCCTTAATTCATCTAGGTAAATCAACACTGAGTTATAGACCTTTGAATATTTCCTTGTTATTTCATTCTTCATTTAAACTTGTATAATATTTATTTTGACTTTACGATTATTTTCGATACTATTGATGATTGTTGTATTTAATGATTTGCTTGATAATTATTATTATCATCTTTATTTGCTAATATTTGAAATCTATTTCGAAGATGATCTATTGTAATTAATTGTATGGAATCGATTTCTGTTTATTATCATATTTGAATGGAACTAGTTTGTCATATTTAGATAAAATCATCTTGATTTATATACTAAAGATATAAAGACATATTCTTGAGTATTTATTAATCTAGAAGAATATATAAAAAAAAGTAATTTCTCGAAAAATATTCTTTTCAAAACAATATGTATTCAAAATTCATAAATCGCAAAAAAATTCTTGAAATTGTATGAAAAAGTTAAGGGTTTATTGTGTGCCTTAACTTTTTGGAGATTGACCTGCTTTTTTGTCATGGTCATCAAGCTCCCTTTTAAGTATATAATATAAATAACCGCATGTATGTGCACATATCATTGTTTCTAGTTGATTCATTCCTATGTATGTTAGCAAGTTCGACGAGTTTTTTTTGAAATGCACTTTGTCAAATGGCACAAAGTCCTGAATAGGCATCACGAACGAACGATACCGTCCACAATCCATATTAATCAAACGATAAGCAGGTACATATGGTCGAAGAATCACATTTCGGAAAACATTCTCGAGAAGAAGAAAAACTTCCACAAGCTGTACTAATTCCGAACGCGTTTTAGGTTTTTTTCCAGATAATTCTAACAAAGATTTGACTGATTCAAAGTTCCCCATACTAATTAGTTGTTTTTTCCACATTTCATAACCCTCTTTGTCGTAAAGACATATAAGCTGACGCCGTAAAGTAGATCCATCTTTCTCATCATCGAACATCTTCATGTATCCTTGTAATGTCCATGGATCTATACGCTAAAAAAAAGTGAACTATCTTGCTTTCGTAATTCTTCCATCAATTTATATTACCTCTTTATTAGGATCATTCGCTGAACCAGTATCAGAGCCGTATGTCGATATACTTGCGTTTGCCATTATTTACTAGGACACTGAATGGCACAAAATGAATTGAAATATGACGTACACGCACACTCAATTTTTTCCTTTTTGATTGATTTATTTGTTTTTCAAAGTTTATTCCCATTGGAACCTTTAGTTCTAACCAATTGTATGAACAACGAGATGTCACTATTATCTACATATTTTTTTAGTCGTTTCTCATTCATTATTTCTTGATAATTAATTCTGTATTAAAAATTGAAGGAATAATAACTACATTGGTTTTCATTGTTCTATATCTTTTCTGTATCAATATTTATATTCTAATCTATTTTTTAATGATATATTGTGAAAAAAAAA